CTGTGTTGGGACTCCTTTTTGGGTCATAAAGATATTGCTTTGGGACTTATACTTTCAGGCCTATATTTGTTTTCTTGATTGGGCTAAAGTCAGAGCTTTGAATACACTAAAAAGGGTCACACCAGCCCATTAGGACTTTAGTCGAAAGGCATTGCCCTAGCCAGCTGGATGACGTCAACTGTCAAATGGCGTGGTTGGAAGCCGAAACTCCTATATTGCTTGTTTACAATTTAGCGTTGCTCTTTAAGTATGAAATTCATCCGGTATATTTGGAACGATACAGAGCTCCTGCGCAAGGATGACACGCACAAATCGAAAATGGTCTAAATTTTTTTCTTTTTTTTTTCTTTTTGCCAATTTTCATCCTCCTTCGGACAAAGAAGTAAAATATCTGCTTCAATGGCCTCCCTTTTCTTGATTTTGCTTTCTTTGCTTTTCTTTAGCTTTGATTTAGTTTATTGATTTGCTAACCAGTTAATGTTCCATTGCAGCTTTTCTGGCTTTGCTTTGTTACAATTGGTAAGAATAGCATAATTTGCTTCACGATATAACTTTTTACATTTTTAATTGATAAATTTTTGCTTTCTGGAAGTAAATTTTTGCTAGAAATTTATGCATTTTTGCTTATACATGTCATTTTCTTGATCACTTTTCCCCCTTTTTTGGTGCACCTGTAAAATGCATGCAATTATTGTGTCAAAAACAAATAAAAACTCTGGTTTGATGCATTTGCATGGTGGGTTTATGATCATGATTATGACAAGTACAATAATTATTGCTTTCTAAATGCAGAAAATTTCAATTTCAACACCCAAGACTGGAAAGGGGTGACTTTATGCTGCCATAGAGATCTATCAAATTTTTACTCTTGGTTGGTAAACTGAATTTGGATATCACCCTTGCATCATTACTTGGGATTACATGTCATTTGAGAAAAGCTGGAATAATGGCCAGAATGTTGCTGTGACCCCCTGCATAAAATTTGATTGAACCATTAATTTATTTGTAGTTTTTTCTTGTGCAGGTTTGTATCCCTAGTCTAGAAGAGTTCACTTATTGTTCTAATTTGATTTCCTTCATTTTTATTGTTCTGCAACAATTCTTCTAACTAGTATTGACAGTTGCCTCTAATAGCTGCCTGTTGATTTTTTCTTAATTATCTGTATTTGGATTGACTTCTGTTCTGATTCCAGAAGCACCTTGATGAAAGATTTTGTCAGAAAATCCATAATCAGGTTCTCCTGGCAATTCCTGCTAGTTACCATGTCTTAATTTGGGTGAGCTACTTGATTAGAAATGTTTACAAGGAAAAAATCCAAGCTAAGGTACAGATACTGCTCTCTTTTATATTTGCATATGCAAGTGAAAAAATACATTGAAGTAAGATGATAGTTGTCATATGATCTATTTTCCATGATTGTGAACTCAAATCCAGTTTTTTGTTCTCCTTTGTTTAGGGGGTGGAGTTGGGGTTGTTGTGATCTCACAATTGTTGTAGCTGTTATCATTATACTTTTTAGGTAACCAGGATTTTATTGGAGTTCAATGGTTACTGGTCACTATATTGTAGCCTTCTTACCCAAAAATTGGCAGAAGTTTGGCATTTTGATCATCCTCATTCCTTAGGGCTCAGGCACCTCTTTCCCCCCAAACCCTCTACATTTTTCTTTTCCCTTTCTTTTACTGGTATTTATCCATTGATTTTTTACTTTATTGCAGGATAAAAGCAGGTTTTGGATTTCCAACCTAAATTGCTATTGCTCTTAGTATTTATTTTATAGCAGCTTTTCTTCTAGCTTTTGTGCATATTAACTATGCACAAAAATGAGATTGTGAAAGTTATCTCATCGTGAAAGGTAGAAAAGCACAATGAATAAGCTTGCTTCCTAGTCCTATTTATTTTATTGGCATATTGTATTCAAGATGAAGAAGACAGCTCGAATGGGTTAACTTCTTCAGGTCTTCAAGCATGCTTCAGTTTGATTTACTGATCATATTAATACACTAGTTGTTGATGCCTCTGGTAAATGGACCATGACTCCATGTCCGTACCTTTAGCTCCTAGATAAATCCTGATTGAAAATTTTGGTATTTATTATCAAAAAATAAAAGTTTCATAATTATTGATTAGAATTAGATTAATTTTCTTGAGCCAACAAGTAACAACCAAAAGAAATCAACCCTTTTCCTTAATTGGAAAAGATATGAATACCCCATCTATTCAGTAATTCACCTTTTGTGCTCTAATAATTATATTCCATCTGCAAATTGAAACTGAAGGGGATGCTGTATTTTAAAAAAAAATGCATTTTGGGGTGTTTTTATTAAGAAATGTTAGGTTCAAAATTGTATGATTACTCTTATTTATCCAAAATAATAGTACTTTGGATAAAACAGAGCCAAAAAATGAGGAAAAAACATTAATTTATAGGAAAATAATGAGAAATGTGTAGTGAAAACGGTGAAATGAAGCAAATGACAGCATGGCTCCACTGTAACCACTGAGAGAAAGGAGGGGTTGGGTGATCTGATACGTGAAAGGGCAAAGGGCAATGGGCGTAGCAATAGCCAATAGACCCCCGTTTTACCGTAGACTTTAAACATAAACCAAAACATGAGTCGCACCTAAGTTTCGCATCTGGAAACAAAATTATAACTCAACCTGTCCTGTTATCAATTGTTGTTCATATAGCTTGTCACAAGATATGCAACCATCTGCTACAGCATGTCATTAGCAGTGCCAATTGTTTTTTCATGTTCTTGAAAAGAAAGAGTTGTTCGTACTTCTTTACTAGTTAAACCAGTTATCTGCGGGTATAAATGTATCTGATTTGATAATGATGATTTATCAGTTCTTGAGGCATGCATATGGAGGCAGAAATTTTCAAATTTATTTGTAGTTAGCATCATTCTGCACACAAAACCAGCTTTGTCATTAGCTTTGTGACATAAGAAGAGAAGGACAATTCAGATAAACAATAATGAAGTGCCAAAATCACATAACTTTTTTCAAAAATTATGATTCAGAATTCAAAAGCAATGCTTCTTCATCTGAAAGACTGAAACTCCCATGCATCTGTCAAGCCTCAAAGATTGGGGGACTAGACATTGCCTTGAGTTTGCCAAACAAAACCACAAAATCCATAGAAAATGCCCATTAATATTGGCTAAAGAAGAAAGAGGGTAAGCAATTTGGCAGTGTATGTATCGTGGTGGGAAAATGGGAAGGGCTATGGCCCTTATGGCCGTACGGGGGGTGATACAAGGTTGTGGCAGCTTGGGTTAGAGACTAGGGAAGGTAAAGAATCCCACAAATGTGACAGAAAAAGTGAACTTTCCAAAGACATTTGGACAAGGAAGTCAATGCCAATCATAACCAACGAAAATTAATCTCTCAATTCCCCATTTATGTCCCCACTCCATCCCCTCTTTCTCTCTCTCTCTCTCTCTCTCTCTCTCTCTCTCTCTCTTATATAGAATGGTCCAAAGTCCAAAAGAAAATTGATGCATCAATAGGGGATCAATCAACAGCAATATGTCATTGTTCTATTTTTCTTTGCAGATAATTAAATCATCGTCAAGGTCCTAATCCCCACAATGGTGTACAATTGCAGCAGTGTAAATCAAGAACATTCAGGCAATGAAATCTCCTTTACACCTAACGTTCGTTGGGTTTCTTTCTTTAATTTTCTTGGTATCCAATCATGAGCTTAAAATTTTGAACAAATACAAAGAAACAGTACCACCAAGGAGGTCCACAACAAGGCTCCTTTTTAGCCTATGTACTTGTCATGTGATGAAATATGTCTCATGGACTAAGAAAAGACTAAATCATGGCCTTAGACTTAATTTTCTCCAATGAAGATAATAGAATAAAGGGGGCTTCAAAAAGCAATAGAAAATAGTACATGGAGCAAAAATGCCATAATAATAAAATGACACAGAGCAGGTAAACCCTAAGGTGGATTATTGTGCTTTGGTTGTACAGCAAATTTTAAAAGTTAGAATCAATGATAGAGATGTCAGGTCGGGGCTTTTTATCTGATTTATATATATATATATAAAAGTTTTGATTTAAAATTAATAAAATATTATTTTTAAATATAAAATTAAATAAATTATAAAAATATTATATATGTACCGAATCAATATAAAATAAATTTGTTAAAAATTTGATGGGATCCGAATTTTTTTAATAAAAAAAATTTGATTTAATTTGATTCAAAGTCTGATTTAAAACAAAATTAATTTTATAAAATTGAATGGGATAAAAATCTTACATTTCGAATTGAATTGTAAACCTAAATCATTCAACTAAAAATAATAATTATAAATTAACTACAATTAGTTGAAAACTTGAAGTCAAACCACAAGTCCTAATCCTTTAAACACTTAAATCTAAGATAATTTGCTTTAGCAGCTAGATACACATGAAAAGGTGGGCTAGCAAAAAAAAAAAAATCACCTAACTAAATTCATACAAAATAAACTTTATATTATGTTTATGATTTGTATAATTCATCAATGGCAGAAGCTCCTTTTGTGAGTCCATTGTAATTTACTTGACTTGAGCCATTTAAACTAATCTCATCACTGATTTCATTTCCGAATCTCACTGTTGCACGATCAATTTCACCCTCATTATCATTATCATTTTTTTTATTTTTTAAATTATTATTGAGATTTGAATTCAAAACCTTTAATTCTAGGACGGATTTCAGTATGAGCTTACAACTTCCCATTGCACTGAAAGGACCTAATTCTACAATGACCTCAGAAAATAGTTCTTAAAACATACAAAGAAAAAACTTGTGTTGGGACTCCTTTTTGAGTCATAAAGATTTTGCTTTTGGACTTGTACTTTCAGGCCTATGTTTGTTTTCTTGATTGGGCTAACGTCAAAGACCCCCCCCCCCACCAAAGACTCTACTTAACAGACCTATGACTACACTAAAAAGGTCCACACAAGGCCATTAAGGCTTTCGTTGAAAGTCATTGCCCTGGTCAGCTAGATGACGTCAACTGTCAAAAAGCGTGGTTGGAAGCTAAAACTCCCATATTGCTTGGTTACGCTTTAGTGTTACCCTTTAAGTAAGAAATTCCGCTTCGGAGTGGCGTCCCTTCGGGGACATCCGATAAAATTGGAACGATACAGAGAAGATTAGCATGGCCCCTGCGCAAGGATGACACGCACAAATCGAGAAATGGTCCAAGTTTTTTTGTACTTTTTTTGCCAATTTTCATTCGCCTTCGGACAAAGAAGTAAAATATCTGCTTCAATGGCCTCCCTTTTCTTGATTTTGCTTTCTTTGTTTTTCTTCAGCTTTGATTTAGTTTGTGGATTTGCTAACCAGTTAATGTTCCATTGCAGCTTTTCTGGGTTTGCTTTGTTAGAATTGGTAAGAATAGCATAATTTGCTTCACGATATAACTTTTTACATTTTTAATTGATAAATTTTTGCTTTCTGGAAGTAAATTTTTACTAGAATTTTATGTATTTTTCCTTATTCATGTCATTTCTTGATCACTTTTCCCCCTTGTTTGGTGCACCTGCAAAGACTTTGTTGCCCCTGAAGCCTGAATGCATGCAATTATTGTGTCAAAAACAAATAAAAACTCTGGTTTGATGCATTTGCATGGTGGGTTTATGATCATGATTATGACAAGTACAATAATTATTGCTTTCTAAATGCAGAAAATTTTCAATTTCAACACCCAAGACTGGAATGTACATGACTTTATGCTGCCATAGAGATCGATCAAATTTTTATTCTTGGTTGGCAAACTGAATTTGGATATCACCCTTGTTATCATTAATTGGGATTACATGTCATTTGAGAAAAGCTGGAATAATGGCCAGAATATTGCTGTGAATCCCTGCATAAAATTTGATTGAACCATTAATTTTTCTGTAGTTTTTTTCTTGTGCCGGTTTGTATCCCCTAGTTTAGAAGAGTTCACTTATTGTTCTAATTTGATTTCCTTTATTTTTATTGTTCTGCAACAATTCTTCTAACTAGTATTGACAGCTGCTTCTAAAAGCTGCCTATTGATTTTTCCTTAACTGTCTTTGGATTGAGTTCTTTTCTGATTCCTGAAGCAGCTTGATGAAAGATTTTGTCAGAAAATCCGTAATCAGGTTCTCCTGGCAATTCCTGGTAGTACCATGTTTTAATTTGGGTGAGCTACTTGATTAGAAATGTTTACAAGGAAAAAATCCAAGCTAAGGTACAGATACTGCTATCTTTTATATTTGCATATGCAGGTGAAAATACATTGAAGTAGGATGATAGTTGTCATATGATGTATTTTCCATGATTGTGAACTCAAATCCAGTTTTTTCTTTTCCTTTGTTTAGGGGGTGGAGTTGGGGTTGTGATCTCACAATTGTTATGGCTGTTATCATTGTACTTTTTAGTTAACCAGGATTTTGTTGGAGTTCAATGATTACTGGTCACTATATTGTAGCCTTCTTACCCAAAAATTGGCAGAAGGTTGGCATTTTGATCATCCTCATTCCTCAGGGCTTAGGCACCTCCTTCCCCCCAAGCCCTCTACATTTTTCCTTTCCCCTTTCTTTTACTGGTATTTATCCATTGATTTTTTTTTTTTTTCACTTTATTGCAGGATAAAAGCAGGTTTTGGACAAGTTTCTTTAAAACCCGGCCATTAGTGTTGGAAAAAGTCCAATGTTTCTGGCTTGAATGAACTATTGAATTTTGTTTGAATTCTCCTTTTTCTTCCTTTCCAACATAAATTGCTATTGCTGTTAGTATTTATTTTATAGCAAATTTTCTTCTAGCTTTTGTGCATATTAACTATGTACAAAAATGAGATTGTCAAAGTTATCTCATCTTGAAAGGTAGAAAAGCGCAATGAATAAGCTTGCTTCCTAGTCCTAATTCCTAAACTCCAATGTTTTTATTGGCATATTGGATTCAAGATGAAGAAGACAGCTCGAATGGGTTAACTTCTTCAAGTCTTCAAGCATGCTTCTGTGTGATTGATCACACTGATCATATTAATACAGTAGTTGTTGATGCATCCGGTAAATGGCCCATGACTCCATGTCCATACCTTTCGTTCCAATATAAATCCTGATTGAAAAAATTTGGTATTTATTATCAAAAAGAAAAGTTTCATATTGATTAGAACTAGATTAATTTTCTCGAGTAAATGCTATTGAACAAAGAAGGATACTCCAACAAGCAACAACCAAAAGAAATCTACTCTTTTCCTTAATTGGAAAAGATATGAGTTCCCTATCTATTCGGTAAGTCACCATTTCTGCTCTAATAATTATATTCTATCTGCAAATGGAACTCAAGGAATGCCGTATTTTAAAATAAAAAAAAAAAAGCATTTTGGGTGTTTTGATTAAGAAATGTTAGGTTCAAAATTGTATGATTATTCTTATTTATCGAAAATAATAGTACTTAGGATAAACAAAGCAAAAAGGTTAGGAGAAGTGTGTAATGAAAACGGTGAAATGATGTAAATAACCACTGAGAGAGAAATGAGGGGTTGGGGTTGGGTGATCTGATACGTGAAAGGGCAAAGGGCAATGAGAAATGCGGGTAGCAACAGCCAATAGCCCCCGTTTTGCCGTAGACTCTACTCATAAACCAAAACATGAGAAGCACCTAAATTTCGCATCTCGATGTCTACTACTATTACTGTTAGTAGACCTTGAAACCATACCAGAAATCCCTCTCACCATTAACCAATTCTTCATCTTTTCCAATTTATAACAATCAGGCCCCAACAACCCAAAGCCACCCCCAATTTTTTCAGATCCTCTCCAAAAAACTCCATTTCCTAGTTCCTCCCCTCTATTTAAAAATAATAAAAAAAAAGCCAAGCCTTCTTTTTTGATTTAGACCCACGACACGTACCAAAGCATAGGATTATGGGAACACAACACGGACCAAACCCAGTTTGAGTTTGGTCTGCGTATTTGTTTAGAAGTCTTTTGAGTTAGGACACATCCACACACACGAATTTTTTTTTTTTTTTTTATGTTCCTTTGTTGTTTTTCTTTATCTTGAATTTTGTATCTCCCTTTCAATTTTGGCCACGGGACACATGCCCAACTCACAAACCACATCTACTATCTATTCCCTAGAGTTTAACCTCCCAACACTCAAACCCAAAGGCAAAAAAACCCTTTTCTCCAATTCCATTTCCCTAGCCAAAAAAACCAATAACCATGGAAATAAAAGTAGGGTGATCTCCCTTTAAACTCTTGATATGGAAGGTAAAATACACTAGCCACCGCTTTTCGCATGTTATCGTGCATGTTATGTATGTCACATTTTGCAGTCAATTTCTAGTTCTATGGTTCTCTCCTAGCTGCTATTTGCTGTGCTTTTCCGTGCAGCTATGTCCTACAAATGTTGGTATTATTGCCTACCTTACACGTCCCTCCATCCCCTAAATAAACCCATTATCTTAAACATAATGAACCCTTTCCCTTCCCCTTCTAAGTTTAGCCAATTTTTGGACATTAATTGTTCTTATGTCCTTAGCTACATGTTATATAATTTGGGGATTATATATCTTTTTTAATTACATGATCTGGAATTTGGACCCACCTACCATCTTGTCACCATTTTGATGATCTGTTTATGGGGATTTTCATAATGTGAACCTAATGGAAAGGGTTTTTTGGGGGGGTTATATTATGACAAATTAATAAATGATGAAATTTGTTGATTATGTTAGGGTTCTGTGGCAATTATGTTCCTGGGTCTTGTTGGTTAGGGGTTTTAGCTAATGATCTCTGGAAATTTTGGTTTTTGAGATGGATTTTAGGATATGGGTGTTAACCATGCTGCAGTTTTCTTTGGAGAAATAGCTTAGGTTTCACCAGGAACCCTACGCTCTGATAAAATGCCTAAATGGGTTTTTATATTACTAATTAATACATTACAAAATAAAGGTAATCCATTTAGTTTATGGAAAGTTTTGGTTTTTCTGGTTTGATAATAATATTGAAGCAATTAGTTGTACTTTTTTACCTATTTCATGAGGATATCCTTTTTCATTTCTATGAAAAGATGTTTATCACTTCGATGAATTAATTGCTTGAAAATGAAAATGAAATGATTGATAATAATAGAGAGTGCAAGTTTTTTTTTTTTTTAAATATTTGATGTGCCGAAATGATTAAATTTCTGCTTGGATTTAAATAAATTTTAACTATGAATTGTATACTTAATCTTGGATGTTCTAGAAATGTATAAACTGCTGTAAAAGGCGAAGTCTAATGAATTTAATGCTGACAAAAGACCTTTAGCTTTAGCAACCTGGAAGATGTTGCGTTCTTTAAAAGCGTAAGTAAAATGAAATAAGTAACATGTTGCAGTCATTGAGACCATATTAGGCTGGTCATTTAACCCCTATCTAGATGTTTGCATATAAATGATACATTAAGCCCTATGCGTTCAACCTACTGCAGGATCCTCGTGTCTCGTTTAAATTTCATGAATTACACTCATTTATACATAGCTGTGCATTTTATATTTTCATGCACAAGTGTAGCTGGTTTCTTTGTTACGTCTTTCTTTCAATCCTCTTCATAATGTATTATATTGTTCTGTAATTTTTTAACTTTTCCTTGACAATGTTTCTTTTGCATCATCTCATTCTTGCATGGGTTGAGCTTTGTTTGGACAGGAAAGTGACTTGGGGGGATAATCAATGTTCATATGCACATTATTCTGCTTTAGAGATGTCAGTTTGAATCATGGAAGTGCTCCCCTATTCTGGTGTTCAGTATGTTGCGGATTCTGATTGTGCTCAACCGAGTTCAGGAACAACTTTTACTTATGACGGAGAATCTAATTGCTTGGAACATAGAAAACAAGTTCAGGTGACAGATGGTAGGATGAATGACTTGTTGCTAAGTATGGAGGGGATTCAAGCAGGAAGACAGGATGATGGTCAAGGCACAAGGGATGAATTGCCAATTTCAGAAGAACACCATAGTGGATCTTCATATTATGATTGCCAGGCAGAGGGCCTAAGATTATCTTGCGGATCACATGATTATGAAGATGATGATTCAAATGCACAGAATTATTGCACTGGACCTCACTTGGCCTGTGAAAACTCTCATTTAATCGTTGACACCATTGAAAGTGAATCACCAAGCAGCAAAAGGGAGGGAGAATTGTCTCTTTCTGAGCCCAATTGGTTAGAGCGTGATGTATCTGTGGCATTATGGGTGAAGGTAACATTTCTTGTTTTAGCTTTAATTTCTATGAAATACCATATCTAGGATGTGGTCTCTCAATATGTCTTTTGTTTATTTTTGGAATTGGTGTACTAGCATGCTTAACACATTATCTATTTATTCTCTCAAATTTCCTTGATCATTCCATCTGAATATTATCTCTATGAAACTCCTGTTTATAATGTCCAGTTAAATTTTTGTTTGGTTTTTTCTTAATTTTTTAAAAAATTGCTATCATTTTATTAATTCTTTCATTTGCTAGGAGATAAAAATACATGCTGGATTTATTTTCATGTTGATACTCTTCTGTTTTTCCAAGTATAGTGGAGAGGAAAATGGCAAGCTGGAATCAGATGTGCAAGGGCTGACTGGCCATTATCGACTTTAAAAGCAAAACCAACTCATGATCGAAAGCAGTATTTTGTGATATTTTTTCCTCACACCAGGAATTATTCTTGGGCAGACATTCAACTTGTCCAATCCATTAATGAGTTCCCTCAACCTATTGCATATAGGAGTCATAAAGTTGGACTAAAAATGGTTAGAGATCTATCTGTTGCAAGGAGGTACATAATGCAAAAGCTAGCTGTTAGCATGCTGAATATAATTGATCAGTTTCATTGCGAGGTATTGTTTTTTATATTTAATATATTTCCTCAATTCCCTGGCTCTCTTATTACCAGAGTTCTCCTATTTGTGTAGGCTTTGATAGAGACAGCACGTAATGTGATTGTCTGGAAGGAATTTGCTATGGAGGCTTCTCGCTGCAGTCGTTATTCTGATATTGGGAAGATGCTTTTGAAACTTCAAAGTGTAATTGCTTCACTTACTTGACATACTTCATAAGATGTCTGAAAAGTTATCAGCATTAGACGGTGGACCCACCAAATAATAGCATGTAATGTGGATGATTTGACATATGTAGAACCTTAAGGATAAATAAAAATAAGGTGGGAGGCATTAGGAACATGAACAAACATAGATTAGTGCAAGGTCTTCCCTACTACATCCTGCTCTTAACCTGAAATTGATTTAATTTAATACATAACTTACACTTTTGTTAGAAACTCATAAATGTCTCTTTTTTTAAACCTTAAGTCTTTTTCTTGAGACTTCTAGTTGTTGCTTTATGAGAATATATCCTGAGGGGAACTGAATAGTCACGAATCCTCAGTTGTTGAGTTCATCTTTGTTGAGGTAAGTTGGGTAAGACTGCTGTCAATATCATAACCACACTGTTTTATCTAATCTATCTCTATGTCCTCCACCATTCCCATCTTTTACATGCATTAAATATTTAAGTATCATTTCTCTTCCCTGCAGAGGATATTGCCCCACTACGTAAATGCTAACTGGCTTCAAGAGTCTTTTCACTCATGGGTACAACAATGTCAGAATTCACATAGTGCTGAATCTATTGAATTGCTAAAGGAGGTATGTCTCATTCTATGGTTTCACATTGATGTTAATATCTGTACATATTGAAGTATGATCTGGTTCAAAATTATGAATCCCAAATGGCTTTCCCATATTTGTAGAATTTTTGTCACCTAACATTCCCTGCCACCCTTCCTTTCCCACCCAAAATAAAGATGAAAAGAAACCTTCTTCCTTCACCTTTGTGCTTTGAAGTAAAGCTTTTACAATGAATCCTAACATTCCATCAAGACAAACAAGGGGCCCTGTGCATCAGTCACAAGGCTTTCTTTTCTCGTGTGCATCAGTTGCAAGGCCTTCTTTTCTCGTGGGGCAGGGACTGTTCTTTTGATTGCATAGTCAAATTGATAAAAGTAATATTTTTCTTTGTCGTTGATTCAGGAATTGTTTGATACTATACTGTGGAATGAGGTTAGATCTCTTGGGGATGCACCGGTGCAGCCCACACTTGGTTCTGAGTGGAAAACCTGGAAGCATGAAGTAATGAAATGGTTCTCAACATCTCATCCTGTATCTACTGCTGGAGATGTTGATCATTGGAACGGTGATGGTCCCTCAAACATAAGTACACAAGTTAGCAAGAAGAGGCCCAAGCTTGAAGTCCGCCGTGCAGAGACACATGCCTCCCAGGTGCAAAGCAATGGTTCTGATCAAACTATAACTGTTGAAATTGACTCAGATTTTTTTAGTCGCCAAGATGCTGTAGATGTCAATATGCCAATACCAGAAATTTGTAAAAATGAAGATGAGAGGGAGGAAACCACACCGATGGACACATCAAATAATTTGACTGACAGATGGGATAAAATTGTGGTTGAAGCAAGGCATTCGGAGCTCATTGACTTCAAAGGCAAAGATGTTGAAATAGCACCAGCAAGTGAAGAGGTCAAGAGCACCTCAACTCTGCACATTCAGCCAAAAGAAGTGGAATTGACACCTGTGAATGAAGCAGTTGCTAAGAAATCAACAGATGCTGGGAGTAAAACCAGGCAGTGCATAGCATTTATAGAGTCGAAGGGAAGGCAATGTGTGAGGTGGGCAAATGATGGGGATGTTTATTGTTGTGTGCACTTGGCCTCTCGTTTTATTGGTAGCTCTGGCAAAACAGAAGTTACTTCCCCTGTTGGTACACTAATGTGTGAAGCTACCACTGTGCTTGGCACTAGATGCAAGCATCGGTCCCTATGTGGCTCCTCATTCTGCAAGAAACACAGACCTAAAAATGATGAAAATAATATCTCCCATTCTCCAGAGCACGCAAAAAGGAAGCATGTGGAGATTATTCCCAGTTCAGAAACCACACACTGCAGAGATGTAGTTTTGGCAGGAGATAGTGAAAGTCCCCTGCAAGTGGAGCCAATGTCAATAACTGAGGGTGATGTGTTGCATGGAAGAAACCACTTAATTGAGAAGCCTGGACATTCTGTTAAAGATCATGATAGCACAGAATTATTGCATTGCATAGGCTTATTCTCCCATAGTGGTTTTGATCCTTGTAATGAAAGTCCTAAGCGGCATTCATTATACTGTGATAAACACCTTCCAAGCTGGCTCAAGCGTGCAAGGAATGGTAAGAGCAGGATAGTATCCAAAGAAGTGTTTATTGATCTTTTGAAGGACTGCTATTCACTTGAACAAAAATTGCATTTACATCAAGCATGTGAACTTTTCTACAAGCTCTTTAAAAGTATTTTATCTCTAAGAAACCCAGTTCCTATGGAAGTTCAACTTCAGTGGGCCCTTTCTGAAGCATCCAAAAATTTTAGAGTTGGGGAAATTTTAATGAAGTTGGTTTACAGTGAAAAGGAGAGAATCCAAAGATTATGGGGCTTCACTGGTGCCGAAGGTGCACCTTTGTCCTCTTTTGTGGAAGAACCAGTTCCCTTGCCATTGGCCGTCCATGATAGCTTTGATGATGACAAGACTATTAAGTGCAAAATTTGCTCAGTGGAATTTCTTGATGACCAGCATCTTGGCACACACTGGATGGAGAATCATAAAAAGGAAGCACAATGGTTGTTTAGAGGTTATGCTTGTGCAATCTGCCTAGATTCATTTACCAGCAAGAAAGTTTTGGAATCCCATGTTCAGGAGAGACACCGTGTACAATTTGTTGAACACTGCATGCTTCTCCGATGCATTCCCTGTGGCAACCATTTTGGCAATACCGAGGAATTATGGTTGCATGTGCTGTCAACTCATCCTGTTGATTTTAGACTGTCAAAGATTGCTCAACATCATAATCTATCTATGCGTGAGGAATCTCCACTGAAACTTGAGCTCGGCAATTCAGCTTCTTTGGAGACTAACTCAGAGAATGTATGCAGTTTTCGAAAGTTTATTTGCAGGTTTTGCGGCTTGAAGTTTGATTTGCTGCCTGATCTTGGCCGCCACCACCAGGCTGCTCACATGGGACCAAGTTTAGCGAGCTCTCGTCCCCCGAAGAGAGGGGTTCGATTTTATGCATATAAACTAAAATCTGGAAGACTTAGCCATCCTAGATTTAAGAAAGGTCTGGAGGCAGTGTCATATAGGATCAGGAATAGGGCAACTGCAACTATGAAAAAACGCCTTCTGGCATCAAAGTCGATTGGCACTGACATCATTAGTGTAGAGCCTCATGTAACGGGGACATCAAATCTTGGCAGATTAGCAGAATTGCAGTGCTCATCCCTTGCAGAAAAATTATTTTCCAAAGTTCATAAAACAAAACCACGACCTAATAACTTAGACATTTTGTCTATTGCCTGCTCTTCTTGTTGCCAAGTGAGCCTCAAAGCCTCATTGGAGGAGAAGTATGGGATGTTACCAGAGCGTATGTACCTCAAGGCAGCCAAGCTTTGCAGTGAGCATAACATTCAAGTCGAGTGGCATCAAGAGGAATTTGTATGTGTAAATGGATGTAAGCCTGTCAAGGACCCAGATTTTCTGTCCCCATTGATTTCTTTTCCTAATGATTTTGGGGGCCACCCATCAGCAGATTCCTTGGATAATGTTGATAAGGAGTTGGAACTGGATGAGTGTCACTATATCATTGACTCACAACACTTTAAACAATGGTCCATGCAGAAGGCCAGTGTCTTGTGTGATGATTTAAGCTTTGGAAAGGAATCAGTTCCAGTAGCTTGTGTAGTGGATGAAGGTCTTTCTGATTCCCTTTACATCTATGGTGATAGTTCCAATGACCAAAACGCTAGATCCTCTATGCCTTGGGAGAATTTTACCTATGTTACAAAATCTTTGCTTGATCAATCCCTTGATCTTGATGCTGAGGTGCCTTTGTGTTTGGATTATTATATCCTTTTCTCTATTGCTACTTCATATAGATTGCTTGCATGTCACCATGACCTTACCACCTGAAGTTATTCTTAAGATTCTTGATAATTCCCTAACGTGGATATTTCTTGGCTTTGTTTGATAATACCATCAAATGCAATTTCTTAAGACAAGGACATGCATCTCACCCCTTGCATGATGGGATACATTTTTACATTGCTTGGATAGGTTTAAATTGTATGTTTATTTTGTAATATTTTTTTCATTTTTCCTTCTTATGATTTACATGTCTTTTCAGAGTTTGCAACTTGGGTGCACATGTTCCAATTCATCATGTAGTCCTGAGACATGTGATCATGTATATCTCTTTGATAGTGATTATGAAGATGCAAGAGACATATATGGGAAACCCATGCGTGGCAGATTTCCCTATGATGACAAAGGGCTAATTATCTTGGAGGTACTTTAATTCTTGTTCTGTCAACCACACTCTAAAGTATCATATCGTGGTGTTGCTCGCTTATAGTGTTACTCAAATCTCAAATAAAAGATTATGTGCTGTTATTAGCTTGAAGACTCTTTTTAATTAGATGCTTTTCTATTTGTCTTTGCTGTTGCTTGCCAATTGCCATGCAGTGAATTGTTTATAATTGTCTTGTCAAGGAGCGCATCATCAACTTGATATGATACCTAAGCATCTAATATGATGTTTTTCCCCATTTAGAATTTCATAGCTTCACCATTCAAAACATTATAAAATGAAAAGCCCTTTTTGGCAAGTAGATATGGCTACATATTCTGGTTGGCACCCTTGCTACTTTCTTTGATTCTGGTTTATACCTTGTGATTAAACCTTAGTGAAACTCTGCAGGAGGGCTACCTTGTCTATGAATGCAACCACATGTGTAGCTGCAATAGAGCATGTCCAAATAGGGTCTTGCAAAATGGAGTACGAGTGAAATTGGAAGTCTTCAAAACAGAGAATAAGGTAATGATTTCAATTTTTGGTTCTATTCTAGAGTTTTGTCCTTTGACATTGCTTCGTGTTGATCTTCAGGGCTGGGGAGTCAGGGCTGGTGAACCAATTCTGAGTGGCACATTTGTGTGTGAGTGCATTGGTGAGATCTTAGATGAGCAGGAGGCAAACAATAGGCTTACCAGGTTTCACTTCTTAATTTATGAATATCCGTTTTCATCTTATGCTTGCTTTTATGCTTTATGTTGAATAGGCTATATGATCGGATTTCAGGTATGATAGAGATGGTTGCAACTACATGTATAACGTTGATTCTCATATCAATGATATGAGTCGATTGATTGAAGGACAGGTCCGCTATGTTATTGATGCAACCAAATATGGAAATGTTTCCCGGTTCATCAATCATAGGTGAGGGTACACTGGCTATGCATCGCATTCTGAAATGCTTTCCGATACTGTTGATTCTGGTATTTCTAAATTGTAACTTGACCATTATAATTGTGTGACTGAGGATTCAGAGATTTAAATATGTTGACCATTTTCTAATTACGAGTAATTGGCCCTTTGGCATTTATGACTTTTTAGAGGAACTAGGTAGCTAAGTGCTGCAGTTCAACTTTGCTGTACAATGAATCCCGTATCTCTACTTTTGAAATCCTGAATTTCTATTGCTTCACTCTTGATAACTTCATCTTCTTTCCTTTTAATTCTCCCCAGTTGCTCAGCAAATCTTGTGAATCATCAAGTTCTTGTGGACAGCATGGATTGTCACCGTGCTCACATTGGTCTCTATGCCAGTCAAGATGTAAGCTCTTCTCGACAGTGTAGAGTAAAAAGCTGTAACATCTGTGAAATCGAGGATGATCTATGGTTCAAAATGTTTTGTGGAAGATGTGGTTTAGAATTTAGATGACTTAAGTTTAATTGGGTGACTTGTCAAAAAAAAAAAAGAGCTTAATTGGTTGAAAGAAAGAAGGTTTCAAATAGGCATCTCTTGACCTTTTTTGTTGTACCAAGATGTGTAGGTGATCTCTTCAATGCTATTCATGATTTTAACTTCATTGGATTGGTTTTACCATCACATCTAATTAGGAGTAGTTATGGAAGACTCTTGTTATTGAAAAAAAACTAAGAAAAATTCTATTTACTTCTCAAAAAATAAAAAAAACTAAGAATTTCATTGTTCTAGTTTTATAAATGTATTGAACCCTGCCACCCTTTCATTTTACAATTTTGCAGATAGCTATGGGTGAAGAGCTGACTTTTGACTATCAATATAAACTGCTACCTGGACAAGGTTATCCATGTCTATGTGGAGCTTCTGCATGTCGTGGCCGCCTTTACTAAACCCTCAGTCAGCACTATGGGGTCTCTATGGCATCAAAGGTTTTGCTTTTTGAGTTCACAAATGAGGATACCGAGCTCCAACACAGGAGCTCTACCTCCATCAAGCGAGTCACCGGACTGAATCTGGCACTCTTGTTGCGAACAGTTCTACTTTTTAGCACGTGATTCTTACACCAAGGCAACAGTAAACTGCCTAATCTCTAGCATGGGCCATGGAGTTCAGCAGGCTCCTGACAGATAATGCAACTTGCGGTATGGAATTTTCGACCAAGCGAGATTGTACCGAAAGTAGTTCTTTGTAAACGGGCTCCAAGGAAATGGGATGAAAGCTTACACTGTATTTGACGGATCCCTTTTTAAATTCTCCCCTCCTCTCCCCCATTTATTTTTCTTCTTTCTTGAGTAGTTAAGTCACTTTTGGGTAGGGCGTACTGTAGATTTTCTGTTTTATCCCAACGTTCGGAGTTCTTGGGTTGATAGCTTAGCCTAGGAATATTGGAAAGCAGTTTTTAAGCATGCGTGAATTGCTTATTTTTGGTAGTAGTGCCTCAGCCTTATTTGTGAAAAACTCTCTAGTTTGTTCTTCTTTGTGTAAAGTTTTGAGTAATTCCTATTATGCCTTGCTTCATTCAAGTTATTCCGATACTGAATAAAGACGTCTATTCAGCTAGTAAAATGACAGAAATTGTCAAATGTATGTGTAATGTCAGAAACTCTCTGATTAAGAATTACATGACTAGACAAGATCTATCATTACTGTCATGTCGAAACTTCAGTTATGTCAAGTGGATCATGAACAAATTTTCTCCGTAAACAAACAGAAGCAGGGATCCCTATGTATCAGTCTAAGCTTCAGTTTTGTCAAGTGGGTCATGAACAAATTTTCTTCGTAAACAAACAGAAACTGGGATCACTATGCATCAGTCTTTTTACTGACATCTGATAATTGTCACGAAAGCAAAATTCTAGTAGTTCCTATGATCAACTATGGTGTGTTGGTAACGTATCTGGTAGATTCCCGACAGGAAAAGTGATCAACCCTGAATTGAGGTTCATGAAAAAGAAAAAAAAAGGGGGGGGGGGGGGGAAGAAATGGTTCAGTGTCTCACCAAACTCAACAACTCTTGCAATTTTCTTCTGCTTTCTTTGCCTGAGATCCGTAGGTTCCGATAAAGTCATTAAATGCAACTCTCTGAGTCAAATCTAATGACCAAAATCCTGCTATCTTACAAAATCTTCAATCATAACCTTAATAAACAAGAACACTCCAAGCGACATTGCCACTCTTGCAATATGCTTGATTGCATTTCTCCTTGAGGGGAGATTCTCTAATTTAGCAGATTAACAAAAAAAGCACAAGCATAGAGGGGAAACCAGAAGTACCAATCCATGCCAAACAAAACCAGAAAAAAAAAGGAATTTATCTTCTATTAAAACAAAAACCAAAAATCTTAAACAGAAAGACTATAATCAGAATACCAGGGTCATTTAACTGAACAGATAAAGAAAAACCAAACATGATTACCATTAGCAGGGAACACGAGCTGAATAGCTTTCTGTGTTTTGTCATTCTCTTAGTTTGAACATTCAAACAAAGGTAATGTGTTATTTGTACAATAAAAATATTAGGCATTCAATTCCTATAGCTTTCAGGTAGCTCATATACATAATTTATTTATATTTATCAATAATAAATGTTCTACCAATATTCTGGAGTAATATATGACATTAAAATTGCTTTATTTTCTCTGCAAATCACCATTTCTTTTTGAGGCTACGACTTTTTGGGCATATCAAGAATCTTTCATTCCAAACCCCTTTTTTTTTTTTTGGATAAATGGACCTGTTATTATATTCACTATAATAAGTAAAGCTTTGGAAGGAATATGAGAGGGCATGCATCTCCAAGTTTTTACATGTTAAAGAATGATGCTAATTTGATGAATGAAAGATTTAAGTTCAAGCTTCTAACAAATTATTTGTTAAGTTTCCATTGTTAAAATTGAGTTTTGTTGGGCAGTGGAGATCAAGAGAAGCTAGGGTAAAGAAACAACGCAGGGACAATGACCACATGGGCAAGGGGTTTGGGGTGACAGTTCAAAAATCAAGCACAGACATAGCAGGCAGGCAACTCAGCTGATCGGCTTTGGACGTTATCCACATGCATGGCAAAAAAAAAAACAAAAACAGTGCTTCAAGAGTGAGCCAAAACATGTTACAGATAAGGTTCCAAACTCAATTGTTTCAAGATGTGAAGCACTTCTGTCAAACACAATTTTTTGGGTATGACAAAATTGAAGACAAAGAAGGTAGAAACATTAAAACCAGCAAATTATGGAGAGTTAAGGTTATAACATTTATTAGATTAGATTAGTAAGTAATTGATAGCAGGCATAAACGTGGCAGACGAGTCCAGCAGGGACAACCCACCACACGAAGAATGATTCAAATGAATGGGAAGGGTGGGCCAAATTTCCAGCCAGGCCATCTTTGCAAATGGTTTTCCTTTAGGAACCACTGATGATTAAACCTCCTTCCTCTCTTTTTTTCCATCATTACTAAAACACTCCATTATTGCATTACAGCAGAGCTTTTCAAAGAGATAAGCACCGAAATGAGGAAAACCAAAAGCAAAAGAATGAAGCCAACCTCAAACCCAAAGTCAAAAAGATTTTGGAAAAGCTGCTTTGATATTTATTTGATTGTGATCATTTCCTTCCTTTTTATAAAGCACAAGTAGGGGGAGTAGCAAATTTCAAACAGGGCAAGTATATTTTTATGTTCCCATGAATCAATTTGAATGACGCTCTTTCCATTATTATTACTACTATTATTTTTCTCATTGACAGATGGATCTATTCAGAAGCTTTTTGTTAAGATCTGAATTGCTGGCCAATCAGAGAGCAAAGAGGCCATCTAGTTACAGCAAAACACCTTTTCCATTAATTTTTTGTTTTTTGAGGATCAAGAAATGATGAATTAACTAATATGCCATATATGAGAAAAGTTGAATTAAGACTCAACAACCTGACTTGTTTGATTACAATCTTCATAACTTGCCAATGCAATGGGATATTAATTAAAGCTGCTTGGGTTTGATGCAGATTATTTAAATACAATATGATATAATAACATTATTCAAATAAAGAAAATACCATGAAAACCTCCACAAAAATAGAGTGGATCACTATTGCAGAAGAAAATACTATTTTGAAAAAGAATGTGGCCTTCATTCCCCCACAATACCCTTTCACCAGTTCCCACTCTGACAACCAAATTAAACATCCAGTTGAGGGCATCTCAGTCATTTCAATAAACCACCGGCACTCATGAAAACGATGCTCACTTCTGCATAGAAAAACCAGCAACGGCCCACAAAAGCAACAACTCAAAGGCCAAAAGAACCCAAAATTTTATGGGTTTGGCAAAATTTAAAAGAAAAAAAAACTTAACAAAGGTAGAAAATTTAAAAGAACGATGATGAAAGACAATTAAAAAATGGAAAGCTTGTTTGCTCAAAAAGAAGTGTTTTTAAGACAAAAAGAAAGAATATTCAAAGTGGCAAAGACATGCAAAGGGAGCAAAGCAAAACAATCATCAAAAGCATTGCTGAGACAGGAACAGTGTTAAAGTAAAAGCAAACCAAACCGCATCAAGTTCTTTTTTATCGTTTATTTTTACTTTAGCTGTTGTGGGTTTTTTTTTTTTTTTTTCAATACAAAAAATTGAAAGAGTGATGTTTCACTCGTTACTCTGCCTGGGCAAAGTCTGAGTTGAATGGTTCCCTTGATGCTTGACACCAGAGCTTTCACTCAACCATTTTAGGGACCCGTGGGCTTAGAACTAAGAAATAAGAAATGGGTAAATTCAGGGTAGATACCAGGATTAAACCTGAACACCAATCTTTCTTTGGCTGAGGTTTTAGTGTTTGGAAGTTTTCAAGATTCTCTTTGTTGGTTATAAAAAGGTACTCTTTTTGTGTTTGTTTTCTTATTTGTATAGATAAGAGTTTTCAAGTTTCTTCCTTTTTTTTTTTTCATCTATAGTCCGGAGATAGAGAATCTCTAAAAATTTTGCTTTTTTTTTTCCCTTTCCCTGTCTTTCTGGGATTTGTTGTTGTTTTTTGTATTGCTAACATATTAGTAAGTGTCTTGAAGAAGTTTTAGGTTCCTACTTTTTAGAAACTGTATTTTGCTTAATTTGGATTACCATTCAAGTTTGTTTTTATCTTATGACAGCTTTACATTGGAGTGCTTTAAATTTTAGGATGTTCTGTTTCAAATAAAATTTCACTTATTGTTTTAGGCAGGTTTGTATAGTCCTTTTGGGGAGGAGAGAGCTAATTTGTTACTGTATAGAAATCTTTAGCAACTTTAACTTTAGGTGGTCTGTGCCCTATTTTCTTAAAATAATGCATTGAGTTCTTGCTGAAAATGGCTGAAATTAGACTTACTAAGGTAGAGCAAGGCCAAACCAAGATTAGAAATGTCCCAATAGCTGTGACCCCTGAAGGTTTTTGGTGTTGTCCCTCTCCTGTTGTGTTCCAAAAGAGTCTTAAATCACAAAATCCTCTAAACAAACCCAAATCCTCCTCACCACCACCCAAAACTACTGTTCAAAAGAAACAGATCCCATTAAATGAGAAGAAGCCAATGACCACTACAATAAGGCCAGCAATTACCTCTGAGGATCAAATAACTTTTACTCCAGATAGTCCTGGTATTAGTGAACCAATTGTTCCTGAGAGGGTGCCAAGGCCTAAGGTAGAACATGTGCCTAGGAAGGTAGCAATTGAGTTTGGTGAACCTGGAACCAGTGATATGAAGGTGATTCTACTTGGAAAGCAAGGGTTTTGTGTGAAATTGAGTCTCCACAAGAAAGTTTTACTCGAGCATAGCAGTTTTTTCACTGATAAACTTTCTGAACAAGAGTCTCGTTTGTCCTGCCTCGAAATTGATGACTGCGAGGATGTTGAAATTTATGTTGAAACTGTGGGACTGATGTACTGCAAAGAAATGAAGCAGCGATTGATCAAACAAAGTGTTTCACGAGTGCTCCGCATTCTCAAGGTAATTTGCATATTGATGCTATGACCTTTCTATTTTTAGTGCTGAATCTTTCTATGTTGTGCATTCACAAACACACATACTAAGGACACCATTTGTAGTTTATTTCCAATCTTAACAAATGATAATCTTAGTAGCGGTACACAACTGTTGTCATATGTCTTCAAACTTCATAGAAGCTAGGGAGGAGACAGTGTTGTTTCAAGCTCAGATTGAAGGCATATCTGCGTAATCAAGCACATTTGTTAATTTGAGACCTTCTCTTAAATACCTGGGTTTACTTTTTGACTGTTTACCAGCATAATCTTTCTATAGCCTTGTTTTCCTCTTATCTATCTGCCTAAATTTTGGTACAGAGGTTGTATACTTGGATTTCATGCCTGCCAGGTTAGAATCAATATGTCATTCTATCTTCATGTTAGTTTCAATGATTAAATTTATTCACCTTGTATTGTGTAACTTTTTCTTGCATTTTCAATACTTGCTATTATTTCTAATCTAAAGTATACTATCAAATTTTAATGTAGGCGGACTTGTTGGGCAATTAGCTTTTCATTACAAGACATATTTACATTTACATGGTGCCATGATGCATAACTGGCAGATTGAACTTTCTTTCTTATACTTGGAAAGCAGAATAAATACTCAATGCTACCATTGAGAATGTTTGTTATAAATATTAGGGTTTGCCTGTATCCTCCATAATCTCCTATTCTTTCTTTAGTAAATCTATTGGCTGAGATAGATTTCCATCCTCAGAGACAGAATGATGATGTTGCCTTGTGAAAGGATGATTGTTTCTTGGAGAATTTGTAGAAGGGGGTTATAAATGATTATGAGTTGATCCCATTAGCTACTGCCTATGTCCTGTTTCTCTGCTTCATGCCATTAACTTATCCTGCACGATCTGTTTCAAACTTACATACTTAGTGATGGATGCTCTGAAACTTTGAAGATGCATGGTCTATCATATGTCCTTCCCTGAATGATAATCGCTAGTTATGCTACTAATATTTGTTTATTAAAAATTCACCTGGATGTTGATGGATATCCTAGAATTTGGTTAGTGAAAAGCTTCAATTCACGTAGCATGTATTTGTAAATTGTCATTTTTTTTTTTGGCTTTGTGTGAAGCCAGCTTGTGTATTTTAAAATTTTTGTCCTTCTAAGAAAGTTTCTTATGCATGTCACGAACTTCTTTACAGGTTGCTGAACTACTTGGCTTTAACTCATGCATACAATCATGCTTGGAGTACTTGGAAGCAGTTCCTTGGGTTGGCGAACAGGAAGAAGAAAAGGTGGTCTCCTCAGTTTTGCGACTCCAAGGTGAAGGTATTGGGGTCACCCCAGTATTAAAACGCATCTCTTCTGATGTCTCTAACCTCCCCAACGACACAATTTCACACATAATGGACCTTGTTCTCAAAAGCAATGAGGAGAGAGGCCGGCGGGAAATGAAATCCATAGTATTAAAGCTTCTTAGGGAGAATAATAGTCATCCAAGTTACGCTTGTTCAGCTGACATCTGCAATGAAACTATTTATACATCGTGCAGAAGCTGCTTGGATTCACTTTTGTCTCTGTTCAAGCTAGCAGCTGAACCAGAATTCGCTGATAAACCCATGGACACCAAAGAACTTGTGGTGAAACAAATAGCTTTAGAGGCTGATAATCTCTCATGGTTGCTTGACATTTTGGCTGACAGGCAAGCAGCAGATGAATTTGCACTAATGTGGGCTAGGCAGCAAGATTTAGCAACATTACATTCCAAGCTGCCTATTGTGTCTCGATACCATGTTAGCTGCATTACGGCTAGGCTATTTGTTGGAATTGGAAAAGTAGAGTTGCTACCAGCTAAGGATACTCGTCAGTTGTTGTTACAAACCTGGCTGCAGCCTTTGATCAATGACTATAGCTGGTTGCAACATCGCTGCAGGTCATTTGATAGGAAAGTTGTGGAAGAAGGCATCGGTAGGACAATCCTCACATTACCTCTAGAGGATCAGCGGAGTTTTCTGCTTGCTTGGTTGGGCAGTTTTCTGAAGGCTGGTGACAACTGCCCAAATCTTCAGAGAGCCTTTGAGGTCTGGTGGCGCCGAACTTTCATTAGACCTTATGCAGATGGCCAAGGCAATGTTCTCCAGTCAGATAGCTCAATGACATCAAAGCAGTAGATTGAAGAAATAACAATAAAAGTGAGACCATATGTAAATTAGTTGGAATTACCTTTACAGTTTGCGGGGAACTTACTTCAGCTTAAAATGGCGATAAACTGAAACATAAGTAATTGTTGCCATGTTGCAGTATTTCTCCATTGCCATGGGTTGACATGACAAGTCTCCTTGAGGTGGCGTGATTTCAGTTAACTACATGCTGATGTTTTTGTGCTAGAATTCAATATGGAATGTATGAAACCTACTTTGGATTGACGAGTACTGGCTGATTGTTTTGATCTGGCAATTCTCGGAAAGAAATTTAATTCTGAGGTTCTTTCCTGTGAACTTTCCATCTGGCGTAATACATGGTTGTGCATTTTTCTTGAGCAAATGAATGTTATAAATCCAATTTTTCATTAGAATTTGGTCTGACATTTTGGTTGAGTTGCAAAACTATGATTGAATTCTGAAATTTTTGTATGATCTGAGAACCAAAACACGATGTTTTAACTTACATACGCACTTCACATGACTCTGAAGATTAACTACTTTCTTTCATTCAATTCTTGTTCTTAATTATTCTAAAGCCCCTCACTCAATGGTGCTCCATAGGAATACCATTTGATGTTACTTTTTCATAGGTTCATCAAATAGTTCTTCATGAAGCAATTAGCCCATTCTGTTTCCTTCTCAAAATTGACCAAGTGCTTTATGGTAGATCTGATAATATGATGCGGTGATATAGTACAAAAATAATATAAATAAAAGAAATGGTGATATAATTTAAAATTTTAACAAAAATCATATATAAGTATAACAAAATAAAAATATATATTTTATATTTTCATATTAATATAAATTAAGATACATAATATTTATGTAAAATATGATTTAAATTGATAAATTATTAAAATTTTATATGAAACGAATACATAAATTATCATATATATATTTTTTAATCCATGGGCTGCTCACTGTCTTTAACAGTAACCATAAGACAAGAGTACAGCAAACTAAAGCAAGCCCAAAACATTTTGTGGGCCAATCTCTAAGTCTGTAATCATTCAAACTTTCATTTAAGTCTTGGCCCAAAACGTTTAGCTTTCTCAAAATAATTGACGAAACGACGTTTTATATCCTTTTTACTTGAAAATGTTCATACGACGAATCATAAGTTCATAACCAAATAATGCAAAATAAATTCCACCATGATTGACCCAACCTCAGAGCTTATCTGGAATTCTCAGCCTGTAAAATGAATATGAATAAATGAATATATATCTATGTTTGTTTATTTAGTTTTAAAAATATTTATATTTAATTCGAGTTCGTTAAAATAATTATTTTATTTATTTATATTTATTCGTTTAAATAATAAATTATTTGTATTTGTTCAATTAAATTAAATAAATTTATTCGTGAACATATTTATAAATATATTCATGAACATATATAAACGAACGTATTCATAAATAATAAATAAATTATAACTAAACAAATAAATTTAGATAAACATAAATAAATTTAAATAAATATAAATGAATCTTAAAATAAAATTAAAATAAAAGATAAAAATATAATTTTATTAATATTATAATAAACGAATAATAAATTAAACGAATTTTAAATTATATTATTTATAAACATAAATGAAAAAACATATATCTGATTATATTTAATTTGTTTAATAAATAAATATAAAAATATTATTCAAAATCATTAATTAAATTTAATAAATAAATAAAAATAAATAAAAATCGAATATATTCGAAAATTCTATTTATTTACATTCTCACGAAATTGTGACTCTATCCGATCCTATCCCCCTGGATGCATGGCCTCAGTCTTTAATCAATTCCATAAATTCTGCCAAGATTGGCCCAAGCCTACCAAAATTTTGAAGTGGGGTTCGTATGCCAGTCATGTGTTGGTGGCCAGTCCTCGGTTGGGTATCGGACGGCTAATTTTTATGGGTGTTCAAAATTTAATTTTAATCAAATTAATTGATTAAATTAAATTGATTAATTGATTAATTATTTAATTATTTTATATTGTTTCCTGAAAATTTCATTTTCAAAAATATTTTGATTTTTTATTTGTTCAATTTAAAAATTAAATTAATCAAAATTTTAATCAAAATATAATAAAATTTATATATATAACTAAAAATATATGAAATTATATATTTTATTTTAAGTTATTAAAATTTTTAATTTAATATTTTGATATTTAAAATTTTTATTAGCTAAGTTTATTTAATTTATTTTTAAAATAAAAAATTTAAATTTAAATATATTTTATTATTTAATTAATCAAAAAATTAATCAAATCAATCGAATTAATAATTCAATTAATTAATTTTTAAAATTAAAAAATTTAATTCAATTAATAAAAATAAAACAATATAACTCAATTAATTTAATTTTAAATAATTTTGAATCGATCAAATTAACGCGCTAGCTTTCTGCATAGCCGTTTATAGGTGGGGATGTATGTACAAATATTAATGCAGCCTTTGCGGAGGGGTCCCCTGTTTTCCCTTTTTTCTTTTTTCCTAAATCATCAATGAAAATTAAAAGCACTCGAATAACTTTTCGTCTGTTTCTTATGCATTGAATTTGTAATTTATACCCCAAACAGGACAAAGAAACCATTCTGGAGAAGCACTTGGGGGCGTTGGCGACTCATTGAATTGTCTAGCAGCAGGTTTGAGCCCCAAGTGATGAGGTGATATAAATTGAAACAGCCACTCAGAAAAAAAAAAATGAAGTCAGGACTCATGACTCAGGAGTCAGGATTCAGGACCACCCCTCCCTCTCCATCGGCTATGAAAGAAACGTTTATCAGAAATTGAACGTAAGTTAAACAAACAAAAAACAAAACAAAACCTCATTTAAGAATCATCGTAGATTCTACGGTATTTCTCTTTCAGTCAGTCTCCTTTGAAGGTCGATTTTGAATCCTTTCTTTTCATGTACAAATATTCAATTCTAGTTTCTCAAACCAAACATGGCTCAGCCTCAGTTGAATGCTCTTACATCAAGGAAGAAACATAGCAATGCTTGCTTTTGCATTGTTTTTCCAGCTGCATGGTTAATTTCCACAGGTTGCTTTAGAAACATTAATTAAATCAAACAAGTCTTTTGACTAAACCTCCCTCAATTGATCATGCAAATGAGGATGCAGTCATTTTTTTCATTTCTTAATCAGCATCTCTCTCTCTCTCTCTCTCGCTCTCGCCCTCTCTCAAACCAAGTAAATGGAAACACAACTGAATGTGACACTGCTTGCTATAGTTATATGTTGTGACAGTGAAATGAAATGTTTTGAGACTGATAGGGTTTTGTATTTTTGTGGCTTTAGATAATGATTCAACTGCTCGAATATCATATCAAAACCCCCCACAAAAGTTTAAACAAATTGTTTTTTTTTTAATCTTTTGGTACGACAATATTGATTTTCACCCATGAAATAATACATATCTAGGATTAGAAAGGAATTGATGGTTGCAGCAGAACAACTCAGTAAATCTAAATGCAGAGATGTTGGTTTACATTGTTTTCTCAAAGGAAAAGCAACAAATTAGGTAAAGAGTACTTGTTGCTTTGCAAATTATTTGTTTTGGATTTCAAGGAACCAACCTTTTTTCATATAGCATTGGTAATCAGGTAAAACAACAACAAAAATACCTACCAGTCTGCTTGGCTAATAGCTCAGCAGACAGAACAAAAAAAAAGATTCACAATCGATTGGTTTGGAGTTATATATTAACAATGACTTGTACCAGCCATTTCCTGCCAGGCAATTTCTTTTAGGTGCCATTGGTTGCTTTCACGTTTTATACTCCTTTTTTTCCCTTTGTCTTTGGCATTTCTCCAGCAACAGATCAAACAAGGAATCATTATGCAATGACAATATTGTCTGCCACAATTTCGCAAACTGGAAATGCACTACTCTTCTGTAATTGAATTATATGCTGAGCCACAAATTATTTTTGCTCACATTTAGTAGTAGTTAGGATAGGGTTTGATGGGACATTAAACTTTAATGGGGAAATTGTAATGCCTTCCATCAAATATTTTGAGGATCTTCTATAATAATATATGTAAAAATTTAAATCCGTATTTATAAAATATTTTTTTTGAAACAAAATGGTTAAATCTTCAAATAATTACTCATAAGTTATGGTCCCTATGTTTTAATTTTTTTCCTTTTTCTAAATTCTTCATACATATAATTCATAGAAGAGTTTTATTCCTTGTTTGCCAACTTAATTAGCCTCCAAGAATATCTTTTAGGATTTTTGGAAGAGATAACATTATAAGAAAGACAAATGTGAAACATTTGAAGTAATTGGTTTAAAGAGATCATTCCTATGACTAGAATGAGGAGGAATGCAAAACATAAATTAATGTAGGTCCGGACCATGAGAAGTCGTCAGCCATGCAAAAAAATTTTGCATTAAATTCCATATCTCTTGGATAAATATTCGATTTTTCTTTCTTTTTTAATTCTAAGGTAAAATCCCCTTAGCAACTTCCTCCACCAAAAACTTTTTTCAGATAGTAAAATCAGTGCTGTGAATGGTAAATTTACATGATCTGGCTAAATCATTAATACACCCAATGTTCATACGTACGTGCCTTAAATTCATGTTCACCATCTGCAATCCACAGTTTTCCACCATGTGATCGTATATGGCCAATTATTTCCATCATAGATTGGTTGCTATCACTTCTCAAAAGTATACAATCCGAAAAGATGTGCATGTTTCTGTACGTGTGCGTGTATATATATATATATATATATATATTACTTATACAGATACATATATACGTATATATTGCAGAAATAACAACATAGAAGAAAATATATGTTGATCTATCATCCTCCATTACCTAGAAAAGGAGCAATTCTAATCATATCTCTCTCTCTCTCTCTCTCTCTCTCTCTCTATCCTAAAAAACATGAATATTTCATGTTATTCTAGAAAATATAAAGGTACAAAACCTTAGAGTACATATAGAAGTAAAACAATCTACTACGTTTATCGTTATGAATTTTTTGTTTCTTGTTTTCTATTTTAAGAGAATTATATGGAATATATATGTATTTGAAATTAACAGCCCCCAAAGTCTCTAACTGTGAAAGAACTTTTCTCGGGCATGTTTCCAGCATGGCGTAGCCCTAGAGTGAGTGAAACATCACCAGCCGTGGTCCCGAATCTAATGAGAGTAGAACCAATGTCGGTGTTACCAGGCGTGGTCCCGTAATCCGCTGCAACAATGCTGCCACGATGACATGTGTCATCGACGCCAGGTATCCTGTGGTGGATATCGGAGTCATGGGTGGTGGTGAAAGGCTGTGAAATGGGTGGTGCCACCTCAGTGGCAGTGGTGTTGGTGGTGGGAGGGCTAGTAATAATAGCGGTGGTGGGGGTGGGGGTGGATTGTTTTGCTTGGTTTTCCGAGAAGCATTGTCTATTGATTGCAATGAGTGAAGGGTCGTTTTCTTTGGCATTGATTTCGGATCTTTTGCCTCCTGGTGAGGTTGTTGTTGTTGTTGGTGTCCCTGCTGCTGCTCCCTGTTGTTGAAGGCGTTGATGTTTGTGCATTGTTGCTGTTGTTATTACTGTTGTTTGGGTTCCTTTCTCTCTCTTTATTATCTCCCTCCTCTTCTTTAGTTTCTTGTTGGTACATCTCTTCCACCATGGGTTTCCACAACCGAACCCTGGCATTTATGAACCAATTTGAAACCTGCAAAACATATGATCATTTTCATTGCACATTACACCATATGCACTTAAAATCCCAGGCAAAGGCAACAAATCAATATTGGCTAGTTTACCATAACAAGACAAATCTTTGTATTGTTTTTATCAGAAGAACATTACTTATGTTGCACAAAATTAGTAAAATATTGTATCCATGATTGATCTAATCATTTCATTAATTAATATTAAGAACAAAATATTCACCTCAATCAACAAGTTTTTCTTCCAACGTTATGGTCAAAAACAGACATAAAAAAGTACTCCAGGAAACAATATGCAATAAATTATTACCAGAGCTACTCATCACATCAGCTGCCTATATATCTTTCTCCACATTTTGCTCAATCATGCCAGTTTCCTATAGAAAGCTCCGACAAAATGACACCATCTAAAAGCAGCCATGATTATTTGGGGGGGGACTCCATTTATGACCTCGAATCACTTTCTTTTATTACCGAGTAATAAATTATAAAAGATAGAGGACTAGAATTAGGTGTTTGTCTTTCTCATCATACTTTGCAGTCACACGTTTTTCCGTTTTGGCTTCCACACGTACCTAACAAAGTTTAATACTGTTACTTTGAAATACAGAAAAAAAATCTATCTTTCGTGTATTTGTGGGGCCTTTTCGTGTGGTTGGAAGGTGTCATACTGCTATTTGGTCCGATAGAGAAAAGTAGAGAGACACCTCAAAGGGAGAGAGAGAAAGAGTATAAAGGTACAGTCTTTGAAAAGCATTTTACCTCTCATTATTTAAAAACTAATTTCTTATGTCCGCAACTTTCATGGCTATCTCTTGTGCACTTTTTGTCTCTGCCTTTTAAATATAATCTGCTAAGTTCCTTCACCATTCAGTATTTATGACTCTCTATTTACAGATCAGAATCTATGTCCTGGTGTAGAGAATCAGAAGGAAAAAGATTTTTATGATTTTTTTTTCTGGATGGAACACAGAACAAAGAAATGGTCTTTTTCTCAAAACAGTCAAAGAAAAAAAATCAGAGAAATAAAACCTAAATACATGCAGGTTCTTCTGATAAGGGTTTCCTTTTCTCTTTAAATCTTTATAAATGTATTTACCGTTTAGTAGTGAAAGAGGTTGGGGAGAGGGGGAATGGAGAGAGAGAGGACCAACCTGGTTTCTCGATAAACCAGTCTGTCGAGCTAAAAGATGCTTATCTGCATCGCTTGGGTACCTGAGAAAGAGACCAGAAAATGACATCAGAATCATTTCTCAAAACCGTATAAAGAGGCACCGATCTTTATGTACCCGCATGGGCGTGAGAATCTAAGAGAAGAAAGATCACCAGCAGCAGCAGCAACCGATAGCAACACCAGCATTTGCAGAAGTAAAGAAGAGGACAACTACTTTCACCATCTCTCGTTATTTACATGCATATCACTTCTTTAATAGTAACAAAAACAACAGAAAAAAGAGTTTTTCTTTCTTTTGTTTGGGTATGTTTATGACAATATGAGACAGTGAGAAAAAAAAGGTCAAGAAGAACTGTCATCTGTGAAATTATGCTTTAATTAATAAAGTTTTTTTTTTTTATACTCTGGGTCTGGGAGTGAAAAAGTAAAGCTATATATAAATGCATCAGAAGAAAAAGCAGAGAGGAAATGAAGGTTTTTTGGCAGCTTTTTGCCGACGAGACAACATCCAAAGGCACTGCATTACTGTTTTCTCAAAACACTAATCAGAAAGTATGACAAAAGGATTAAAAAAACTTGGATTTTGTAAGTTAATAAAGTATCATTATGTCATATCTCCCCCCCCCCCCCCAATGTCTTATCCATTTTCATTAAGAAGTGCAGATTATAGTGTTAGAGTAGTGTGAGTTAGGTAAAGGCAACGTACGGGTTGAGAAAATGTTCGAAAAGCCAGGCCCTCAAAATGTTGACAGATCGTTCAGGCAGGCCCCTTTGGGGTCTCCAAGCTTCCTGTTCCATCATACCCATCTGATGGAACGCTCTTTGATGTCTTAAGCTTTGCTCTAGCATCCTTAGCCTTGGTGTCTCTCCTTTGGTTATGCCTGAGCTTCCAGTTCCATCTTTCTCACCTAGAAGCTCACTGCTGTGCTTCAATTGTGCTGATACGGCATCCTTCAAACACCTAAAATGCCTTGACATTGCCTTCTGAGCAAGGGCGGTGTAAGGCACAGCAGCCCCAAATCCCATCACCAGATCAAATGAGTTCACTACCATTTGCATTTGTTCACAGTAATGGTTGTATCTCCTGTCCACCTGCAACCATAAATTTCACGATAAGTTCATTGTTGTTGTTGATCACAGTTTACGATGAAACATTAAAGTTAATAATTGCCTTAAGTCCTTATCCCAATCCTGCCATTAAAAAAAAAAAAAACTTCTGACGTTATTTGCACAACCATGCTAAGAGAATAATAAAAAAAAAAATCAATGACATGATTTGACATTGGATGAGAAGAAAATTGCAAGTTTCTCTTTCAGAATTTTACACCCAAAAATCATTTGACATGACTTGGTTGCCGTTTAAGGAAACCTCAAAGAATAAATGAGTTAATCAAAGCATGGTTCAGTGAAATGATTGTTAATGGGAAGTGGCAACAAAGAATGTTCTTGTGTTTTTTTTTCCACTCTTTCTCCAATACAGGCAACAGCCAATTGATGATGAGCCCGTCTGTGTAAACAAAGACAAAGGGGAAATAAAGAAAAAAAATTAGGAAAACAAAACAACCACCCTTTTTCCCAGAGTCAACCAAGTTATAATAATACCATTGGCTTTCCCTGCAATATTACTATGATGGGTATGGATCTCTCAGGTAGCAGTAGCTTGGCAATAATTCTGATACGTGATATATGGTAGGTTAATAGTCATCTTCCAAATCAGGAGGAACGTCGCTTCTCATCTGGGACGCATACCCCTAACAGTAGTCTCTCATGTTTCCACCAAACCACGCCCCAGAGTGAGTACCTTAACACACACACGCACCAATCCGATCGCTGTGACACGAAATTTATGAAATAGAAAAATGAAAGTGAAGACGTCATCAAACTCTACCAACTAGATCCTATTCCTATAGAACGATATTGCTCTATCTGGGTTTTCTTTTGCTTAAAATATTCCTATTTGTCCCCGTGGCACTGATTTGAAAAATAATGGGTGACCAAACAAATGAAAGGGGAAAAAAGATTGGGTCTTTGGCTCTTGAAGGAGAGAGAATATGAGAATGAAAGAGAAAAGAGGTATATAGAGAAAGAGATTACATGCCTCATCAAGCATGGATAAAAGTTTGACCTTCCTTCTTTGATGTTCAATTCTATCAGCTGCTAATAAAGGAGGGAGATCCTTTGTTGATGAAGAAGAATCACCTCCTCTACCGCCATTACTACCTGGATTAGAACTAGGGTTTGTGTTGTTTCTACCAAACTTGTTCTTCTTGAAATGGCCTCTTCCAACACTACAGAATTCTTCTAACAATTCTTGAGCAGCTTTGGCATACTTTGAATTTCTCAACACATTGACCATTCCTAATGAGGATCCGTACCCAACATGAACCTGATGGTTTTGTGCCACTCCACCTTGCAAATGCAGTGTCTGATGATGACTACCCAAATTCTTGTACTGAAATTGAGCAGCAGCAGAAGAACCCCCTCCTTGATTATAATACAGTAACCCGCCATCTCCCATCCTCAATTCTTCAGCTTTGGCAGCTTCCAAGTGTTGCAAAGAAGATGATAAAGATAGTGAAAGGCCTTGGCCTTCTACAACACTTCCAATTTCACTTGGGTTGTTGAGTTGTGAAGCAGTGTTATCTCCTTCATGAGCACTATTAGGAACCCAAGTAAATTGAGGTGGAGATAGCACAGTACTTGTACCGAAAGCCCCTCCAGGACCTGATACATTAAACCCTTGAAGAGAAGTAGCAGGGTTTGGAAGCAACATGTGAAGAGTATTAGAAGAAGTTGTTGGGGGAGGAGGAGATGGTGATCTTGGCTGCGGGTTCATCAAGAAAAGGTGCATGGCAGCTGCTGAGTCGGCATTAATGCTTGGTAACTGCTGGTGATGCTGTTGAGCTAAACTGTCACGGTTATTGTGACTCTTTGATTCACCTAACTGTCCCAAACCCCCAACAACACCTTGCCTATCGCTATACCAATCGGTGGTATTACCTGCTGGCCTGTGTGCTCGATAATTGGGCTGTAGATGCTGGTCTAATAACTCGGTAGAGGCGGTGGCAGCAGCAGCCACACCTGAAGGAAAATTGAACATTTCTGATAACATAACTGCTGTTTCATAAACAGGAAGAGCATTTGATTCTTCCTCTTCGATCCCTACTAATGGTGGAGGTGGTGGCTCAAAGCCTTGAACTATTAGTTTATCTCTCCGGATCTGCTGTGCTAAGTGGTGTTGTTGTTGTTGTTGCTGTTCTTCGTGGCTTATGACTGATCTCTCGAAGCCATTCGAGAAACTGAAGATGCCAGCTGATTGGCGGTAATCTTGGGACATAGAATTTGTAGAATTATTGCTCTTGTATTGAATTGGAATTTGATGGTGAGTCTTGGAGTGTTGAGATAGAATTGATGGGACGAGTGGTGGTGTTGCTATTCCCATATCAATATCTTCCTCTTCTTCATGATCATATCCAACCCTTCCACTTTTCCTTGGCCTTTTCGCTGTTCAATTATGGATCAGTAACCACAAACAAAAACAAAAACCACCCATCTTGAAATAAGCGTTATTCATCATAAACAACTATAACATGAACCAAAAGAAAAGAAAGACAAATAGAAAGGATCAAATTCTCTCAGTTAAGTGATGGAAAACAAGAAAAGAATAGAGGTAAAGAGAGATGGAAGAACAAAAAAAAGGTATGAAATGGGTCCCTGTTGATTATCTTTTCGATTTTGTTGTAACCCTTTTATCAAAGTTTTCAGCTTTGGTTTTCAAACTCAGCCTTTTATATATATATATATATATATATATATGAAAGAGGAGCATATGGTGAGAGTGTATATATAGGCAGACCTTGTTAGAGTTGCAGAGTATGAAAGGATGTAAAGATCTTAGACATCGTTTTCTCTTCTGTGCTATTGAAAGCTTCTTCAATCCCCCCCTCGCTCACCCCTCTTTTCCTTTCCTTTCCTTTCCTTTCTCCCTGTATATGTCTGTGTCTGTCGTCTCTTTCTCTCCTTTTCCTTCTCTTTGTTGCTCTTACCTGTAGTGACTTTTTTTCCTTTTTTTTTTTTTTATAATCAGCCTTCCAACATGAATATGATGGAAAAAAATTTATAGTAAAGAAAATTTACAATGGAGATGAGAGGAAAGGAAAATGGAGGCTGAGAAACATTGATAACTCTTTCTCAAGAAAAGAGAAGAAAAATAAGAAAAGAGAGAAGGGGTCGCCATCTTTCTTCTTCACCACTTTTTACTCGGCCAATATTTTATATTTTACAGTATTTTTTTATTTTTTATTTATTTTCTGTTCTTCAAATTGACAACAAAAAAGGGTTAAATTGAAGTGTGACAAGGTAATAAAATAATAATAAGAGAAAGAGGAAAAGAAAAACAAAGACTTGAGTTTTAATTTATTAGATTTATTTTCAAATTACTAAAATAACCTTATCTAGAATATTTAAATTATGGGTATATTTGACATTTTTTAGAAAAATATTGTTTATAATTTATGGTCCTTAGAGATAAAAAAAAGAATTATGCTGATTTTTTTTTAATATTTTGAAATGTAAAATAACCTCAAAAAAATTATGTTGAAAAAGTCGGCTATTATTGTAATTTTAATAGACGTCCTTTGGAAACCAACGCAAACTACGGAATAAAATAAGACAAGGTCAGTAGGAATTAAGTCATCTCAACGATCCAAACTAGCACCCCCGTCACCATGTTCAAATGACCAAAACACCCTAGGTAATCATTGTATATTTTCATTAATACCAATTGTTGATAAGGGCAAAAATGTCATTTTGAGAACTTTTTAAATTTATGAATCAATTATTAAATCAAATATTTTGGATATAGGATTTTTTTTAAAGAAAAATGTTAATCATTGTGTAATGATATTGATTAAGATTACATATATTTAAAGATAAAAATTTAAAATTAATCCGTTATCTTTTATTGAATTTGAAAAAAAATATATTGTATTAAAAGAAAATTCTTTTTTTAAATAATATTTTTATTTTTAATCTTATATAGACATAATTTAATCCTACCTTTATTAATACAAGAAAAACCACACAAAAGATCGAATGACATCAGTTAATCGAAATTTATATTGTAATCAAAAGTTTCAAAATCAAATATATTTGAGATAAAGATATTTATGCATTTGATATTAATTATATTGATTTACTCTTTTCTTTGCATGTATATATATTGGTTTTAGACAGGTTTTATATTTCTTTTCTTGTATTTATTACTAATTTTTATTTCAATGTCATGTATTAAATGGTTGATTCTAACATATTATGGATTTAGGGTATGGTAGGGCTAGGAACAATATGGTACTCAGAATCATGAGGGATAATTATCTTGAACTCATTTATGACACTAGACATGCTAATGTTGCTACTAATTGATTCTTCGAAAACGACACACTCATTTCCCATTAACATGAAATTATTATTTACATCATATATATTTATCACTTAAAAAAAACTATTTGGTTATAAAAGTATAAAATGAGAGATATAATAATTTTTCATCTTTTTACTTTATTGCATAATATAATAATCTACTCTTTTACTTCTTAGTTTAACCCATGATCTCTAATTTTTTTTAATTATAGAAGCAAATTACCACCGTATTACATATGCATTAGGTCATATTTGGCTCAACATCTTGATTTTATGTTATTCGAATCTCTGATAACACTAAATGAAAATTTTTTCAAAAAGGAAAAAGATGAAAAGAGAAAAGATGAAAATTTACATGATTTATCAAAACGGCATCATTTGATTCCATAGTTGAAACAATTATTTAAAACTTTATCACTATTCTTATACTTGAATCGAATATAATTTGGACAAAGCTCCGAAAGTTAATGTACATTTTCCCTATTTTCCCTTGAACTTCATCATTCTATGTATAATACCAAATGGATATATATTTTCCTTCACAAGGAAAAAAAAACAAATTAAGGTAGAAAAACTTGCCCTTGATTTACATCATGTGAAAATGCTATTTCTCTAATGTTAGTTCTATTTCTAAACAAAGCCTTGTTACCATACTTCCCACATATTAATATTTTAGCCAATAAGTAATAATAACTAAATTAACTTAGCAATTTTCTTGTTTCACATATGAGCTTTTTATATTTGCAAGGATATATGTGAAGGAAGAGAAAGAAGATGTGGAGATAATAATTGATGAACAATGAATAACCTCTCATGTTGGTTTTCCATGTTATAAATACTATATAAATATATATTTGCCAAATTTATAATAATTGAGGAAACCCTTTTTATATTTAACAGCAATATTTTTTTGAACACTAGTACATATGTAGCTATAAAAATTAATTTCAGGTAGGCCAGGATATAGGTGACTTTGATCCCAAAGCTTTAAATCCCAACTTGGGATGTCTCTCTTTTTGTTCTTTAATTAATAATTAATACCCCTCCCCAAATGTTTGGCATCTACTCTTTATGTATAGTGTCAGATATCTTATATTAGTTTAAACTTTAAAGTGGTATATGATCTCATGCAGCATTTTTAGGTTCCTTTTTCTTTTGCTTAAATAGATGCATATATAAAATAGTTTGATCCATGATTTGCCTTGACAGAGGGGACATCTCCAGTTTCTGGTTGAGAGATTCCAATGCAAAGCAGTACTTTGTTGTCGAGCCTGTGATCAACTTTGAATTAAGCCTTTTTTGTCAGGATTTTTCGAGTTAACATCATACAGAAAATAATGGAAGCTTTGGGTCCTAGTCTCTGAAACATGAAAATTTGATACCAAAAAGAAGGAAACTTGCAAGTGTCATGCATTTATTCCATAATTATTAGAGTGATAAAAATGGATGTTTCCAAATTCCAAACCATGGCAAAAAAGAAAAAACAATGTTGTAATAACTTTATTGATATATCACCGACAAACAAATAAAATGGAATTGATTTAGATATGAAAGATCTTTAACTTATTGGCTATGTATACCTTGTAATAACTAACATCACATTCAAATAAGTGGAAAATTTAGAATTATAATAGAACATTGACCTAATCATATCATAATTTTATAGACAATTATTAGAAAAAAGTAATATTATTCTATAATTTGCATAACACTATTAGTCTGTCACAAATTAAGTAAAACAAATCAATTTGATTGTGAAGGATCTTGATCTTAATGACTAAACAGTATTGTGCTCAAATAAATAGTTATAGATTCACGTAATCTTATAAATATAAGATTTGATTTGCTTTTAAGAAGATATTTCAATGGTTAGAATTCAATACAACTTCATTTTTTAAGACAAGTTATTAGAATAAGATTTATAAAAATATAAGAGAGAGTTACATTTTAATATTATATATATATGAACAAATCTAAGAAGTTTCTTCTCTGTCTAGTTAATCTTCATTTAGGTTAAGTTTAGAATTTATTGTATTTTTAGTATGATGTGATTAAACTCATCCCACTACCAATTGAATTTAAATGTTAATTTCATTGAGATTCATTTGATATAAAATTTTCATTAATTTTTTTTAATAATAATTATAATAATTATTATTATTATTTTTAAATATCATTGAAATCAATCTCATCACACATCTAAATCTAAATGAAGCATTAGTCACCATCCTTTCACTTTAATTATATTAATTGAACAAGGTTTCTTCTCAGCAATTACAATTGAGAAGAAGAATAAAATAAATTAAAAAAAAAAAAAAGAAAACCTTTATTTATTTATTTATTTATTTTTGGTTTGGGTATTGTTTTGTTTTGTTTATGACTGCAAACCAGATTGAATGGCGACAGCCCAACCTTCTCTCCTTTTTCTTCCACTCATCAATCTGTCGTCTATTGGGGGTAAGGTCACGTGAATCCCACCCTCACTCACGCGTGAAAGTCGGCACCACGCACGTTTCCCTCCCTTTGCCAATTGTGTTGTCACCATGCACAAAATTTCCTTCCAAAAGACGTTTTTGTCCTTTGCTTTATTATTGTTCTCGTGTTTACGTTCCTATTGCGCTCCAAAATAGAAAAAGCTATATTTTGAAAGGAAAACAAGGTAACCTTTTTTGTTTTATTTTACATGAAGTTGTTGTTTGAAGGTAAAGACAAGCAGCCTCAGCTTTTCATCAATTCCGGGAGCGCAAATCTTGAAAAATAAATAAATATCGAGCAATCACAGGTGAAATAGTTACAGAGAATTCAAATTTTAATTTTAGTAATTATAATTAATTTAATTATTGACAATCATAATTTTATATATATAATTGTTGCATCAATCAATCATGTGGAACAAGTTCATCATGCTGTCGTAGAAAAAATTAATTCTGATCCATTGTACCTTGCACCGTATTTGGTGCAAAACCGTGAACCTCCCAGACAAGCCCGAATGGAAATGGATTAAAGAAAAATTGAAGTTCATGGATCGGATGAGGGAAAAACATCGAACATCCTAAGAAATTTGTACACGTTTTTCTATTTTTCAGAACTTATGGACACAAAATATCAGCATCAATTGGAGAATCTAATAATCTATAGCAGACAAAAAACAGTGTTCAAATATTAAAACCTTTAGCTACTTATATTGGACCGAATAAGATTGATGTTAACTCACTCTCGAAGCTCCTTTTCATGGAACAGTGTCTGAATTGTTTAATCACGCAAGAACTCTGTAGGTAGCCTGCATCAAATTTATTGTTTTTTATACATATTTTCTCAAGGATTAATGATGAGGGAGAGGCGGGCATCATCCCACAAGTTTATCGTGCCAACATTTTCTCTCCAAGTTGATGAATCA